AATTACCATAGTTTTCCAGTTCCTAACAATGAGCAGTAATGAGCATTATTAATTCAGCCTGCTGGCTCTTTATATTCTGGGAATTCAGAAAACAGCTAGCTGGATGAGAAATAGTTTGATTCTAGGTTAAGATCTCATCTTATAGACACAGTGAATCAACTTTTCAGATCTGAAGGGGGTGAGGAAACCTGTATTTTTAAGTTTTGTTTATTGTGGTAAAATATGTATAAAATGTGATTTTAACTATTTTGAATGTACAATTCAGTAGCATTAATTATATTCACAGTGTTGTGCAACCACTGACACTTTTTATTTCAGTACCAAAATTTTCATCACCCCAAACAGAAACTCACCATTCCTCCTCCCTACAACTCCTGACAACCTCTAACCTACTTTCTGTCTCTATGAATTTGCCTGTTCTAAATATTTCGTATAAATGGAATCATATAATATTTGTCCTTTTGTGTCTGGCTTCATTCAGCATGTTTTCAGGGTGCATCCGTATTGTAGCACGTGTCAGTACTTCATTCATTTTTATGACTAATATTCCATTTTATGTATACATCACATTTTATTTATCCATAATCTGTTGATGAACACTTGGGTCGTTTCTACCTTTTGGTTATTGTGAATACATATGAGCATTAGTGTACAAGTATTTGTTTGAGTCCCTGTTTTCATTTGAGCATATACATGGGAGTGGAATAGCTGGAAACCTGTTCGTTTAAACCTTTATAGCTATTTGTCCATTTGTATGTTACTTTGCTAGCCATGAAAATGACAGATGAAAATAGAAAAGTATGGCTGGTCTGAAGGTAGTGAGTTACCTCAATTCATTGTCCAGTCAGTTACAGATCGAACTTGTTCTACTCTTTCCTTCCTTTTCACTACTGCACTTGACTAGTCTAAAAAAAAAAAAAGAAATAAAAGAGTGTCTATTTTTTATAAGAAGATATGCTTTTTTTGTAACTTACTTTTGGCTTTTCTTAACTACTTAATACATGGAACTGCTGTTCATTTCTTTTGGCCTATGAGCCCTGCAAAAAATTACCAAGGCATTAAGAGCATTGTAAACCCAGAAGGTTTGGGAACCTTAGGTTTATACACAATGTTCAACAACTAGTTTTTTAAATTCAATACTCTTTTGGACAACTTATATTAAATGATGCATATCCCATTGTATAAGTGTACCACTTACAACAGTTGCCTTATTAAACTTCCAGCTTATTGTAGTTTTCCAATGTTACAAAGAATGCTACCCACAAACATAATTACATATATATACACATCTGTATTAACTCATACTAAGATTCCTGTAGGATAGATTCCTAAAACTAAAATTGTGAGGTAAAAAGGATATGCATACTTACAATGTTATTACAGCTAAATTTCCCTTCAAAAGTTTGTAACATTATACACTACCAGCAATGTAGGAAAGTACCCATTTCCTCTTTCCCTCACCAATATTTGATATTATAAATTCTTCTAATTTTTACAAACCTGACAAAATAACAAAATTTTGTTTATATCTTGTATTTCCTTAATTAGTAGTGAGATCGGGCACCTTTTCACATTTTATTGGCTGTTTATATTTCTCATGTCAATTCCATGTTCATATATTTTGACCATTTTTCTATGGGAATTTTTTTCTTTTTCCTAGTTATTTGTATGAACTCTCTTTTATTGACACTAATCTTTTGGTTTTTTTCTATGTCACAAGAATTTTCTTCCTGTTACTTGTATTCAAAGTGTTCATTGTTCTTTTTCCATATATAAATTTAGCATTTTTATGAGATCAAACCTTTATGATTTCTGAGTTTTGTCATGTTTAGAATAGCCTTCCTTTCTTAAGACTGAAATTATCTACTCATGTTTTCTATGAGTACTTTTAGGATATTAGATTTTAGGGCTGGGTGCTGTGGCTCACACCTGTAATCCCAGCCCTTTGGGAGGCCAAGGTGGGCGGATCACGAGGTCAGGAGATTAAGACCATCTTGGCTAACAAGATGAAACCCCATCTCTACTAAAAATACATAAAATTAGCTGGCCATGGTGGCGGGTGCCTGTAGTCCCAGCTACTTGGGAGGCTGAGGCAGGAGAATGGTGTGAACCCGGGAGGTGGAGGTTGCAGTGAGCCGAGATCACACCACTGCACTCCAGCCTGGGCGACAGACAGACTCCATCTCAAAAATAATAATAATAATAATAATAATATTTTAGGTTTATATTTGGAATTTAAGCATAAGGAATGAGGTAACAGCCTGCTTAGTGTTTTCTCCTACTTAGTTGGCCTGTTTATTGAATATAATGTCATTTCCTTATTAATTTGCAATGTCACTGTTAGCAGATACCAAATTCTCGTATAAAGTATATTGTAAGTCTCTTTTCTGGACTCAGACTTTTAAACCTTTTCTTATACCAGCTCTACACTACTTAAATCAATTTTACTATATTTAATACTTTAAATAAAATTTGAAGCATACCTGTATAATTTACCTTTTTTACTTTTTTTTCTTTTTTTTTTTTTTTTGAGACAATCTCAGTCTGTCACTTAGGCTGGTGGAGTACAGTGGTACCATCACAGCCCCACTGCAGCCTCCACCTCGTGGGCTCAAACGATCGTCCTGCATCAGCTTCCCTAGTACTGGAACTACAGGCTTGTGCCATCACATCTGGCTAATTTTTTAAAAAGACTTTTAGTAGAGATGGAGTCTCACTGTGTTGCCCAGGCTGTCTCCAACTCCTGGACTCAGGTGATCCTCCCACTTCAGCCTCCCAAAGTGTTGGGATTACAGGCATGAGCCACTGTGCCTGGCCTTATTTACCTTTCTTACAGTGGTCATTTTGTTGTGAAATACGAACATTATTACTTTTTTTGTTATTTTAAAAATCTTTTGGATATTCTTTTTAAAAAATAATTTTAGACCTGTAGAAAAGTTGCAAAAGTAAAACAGTTTCCTTTATTCTTACCAACTTCACATAGTATGAACATCTTACGTAGAGCAATTATTGAAATCAGGAAATTAATATTGATATAATACTGTTAACTAATCTGCAGACTTCAATCTTTCTTGACATTGACACTTTTTAAAAGGGTACTAGTTATTTTGTAGATTTTTTGTCTGAGGCTTTCTTCTAATTAGATTCAGGACATGAATTTTTTTTGCAAGAATACTAAGGAAGTGATATTGTGTGTTCTTCGCAGGGCCTCGTATCAGGAGGCACATGTTGTCAACATGTCTTATTACTAGTGAAGTTATATTTGGATAACTAGTTAAAGTGGTATCTTTCAGGTTTCTCCCTTTGTAATTAGTAAGTATCTCATGGAAAGATATTACCTCATTTCTCATCACACTTTCACCCACTAGATCTGTATCTATCAATGGTTTTTATCTGCAACAATTATTACTGGAGTGTTTGCCTAATGATTTTCTGTTCCCATCATTCCTTCTATATTTATTAGTTGGAAATTCCCGTATAAGGAAGATAATCCCTTCTCCCAATTTATTTATTCAATTATATCCTTATGTCAGTATGGACCCATGGATTTATTTTATTTTATGGGTTCCCATACCATATTATGTTACAATTGTTATGTTACAATATTATATTACAATACCATATTATGTAACAATATGTTGGCACTCTGTATCTGCAGGTTCAACACCAGAGGATTCAAGTCAACTAGAGAGAAAATATTCAGGAAGAAACACCCAAAATAACAATACAACAACAACAACAACAAAAACCCCCCAAAATACAATATAACAACTACTTACGTAGCATTTACATTGTACTAAGGATTATAAGTAAACGAGAAGATTTAAAGTACACAGGAGATGAGCATAACTTATATGCAAATGCTATGCCATTTCATATAAGGGACTTGAGCATCCACAGACTTTGGTATCTAAGGGAGTACTGGAACCAATCCCCTTCAGATACCAGAAGGCGACTATATTTAAGAGATAGAAACAGTGCCAGGCGGGGTGCAGTTGCTCACGCCTGTAATCCCAGCACTTTGGGAGGCTAAGGTGGCAGATCGCAAGGTCAAGAGATCAAGACCATCCTGACCAACATGGTGAAACCCCGTCTCTACTAAAAATACAAAAATTAGCTGGGCATGGTGGCGCGCACCTGTAGTCCCAGCTACTCAGGAGGCTGAGGCAGGAGAATTGCTTGAACCCGAGAGGCGGAGGTTGCAGTGAGCCGAGATTGCGCCATTGCACTTCAGCCTGGTGACAGAGCCAGACTCCATCTCAAAAAAAAAAAAAAAAAAAAGAAACAGTGCCATTAAGTACTTACAATTGTAGTATAAAGTGTAAGGTCCCCATCTAATCTATGTCTTAATATCTTTGCTTGCAAGGGGAAATGAAATAAAAATTTTCTTAATATTGTAACTTAGATTAAGATTTACAAATTATTTCCATAATTCAGTTACCAGATGCTGAATGTGTATTTACAAGCTCCCACCAATTAAGGGGCTTAGAAAGAGCAGAATATGGAACTGACACAAGGCCCATATCAAACATTCAGGGCAGCACAGGCTGCATCCTGATGCTCACAGTCAGGGGATACATGCATACATGGAAAAACTCCTCTTTTTTGAGATGGAGTTTTGCTGTTGTCGCCCAGGCTGGAGTGCAATGGCACAATCTTGGCTCACTGCAACCTCCACCTCCCAGGTTCAAGCGATTCTCCTGCCTCAGTCTCCCAAGTAGGTGGGATTACAGGCACCTGCCACCACACCTAATTTTTGTAATTTTAGTTGAGACGGGGTTTTACCATGTTGGTCAGGCTGGTCTTGAACTCCTGACCTCAGGTGATCCACCCCCCCCCCCCTTGGCCTCCCAAAATGCTGGGATTACAGGCATGAGCCACCACACCTGGCCGCCTTTTTTTTTTTTTTTTTTTTTTTTTTGAGATAGGTTCTCACTGTGTCCTCCAGGCTGGAGTGCAGTGATGTGATCTCAGTTCACTGCAACCCCACCTCCCGGGCTGAAGAGATCCTCCTACCTCGGCCTCCCAAAGTGCTGGGATTACAGGCATAAGCCACCATGCCTGGCTGAAAAATTCTTTTCTGTACTCTCACAACACTTTTGATATCAGATGTGTGGGAGATGTGTGGGTTTTCCAAAACCAAGTAATTCTCCAATTCTCTATGGACACTAACTGGATGTTCTAAAATTTTATTTTGAACTAACTACCCAGAGTTAGCACAGACCCCACAGGCTAAGGGTTCAGTCCCACAAGACTGCCCCTACCTCAGATGCCAGTCACAAGTCCAGGCCTCCCACTCTTCTGACCAACTAGCTGTAAATTGGGGGTTCCCTTGACCCCTTCCTTGGGTTTGATACTTTGCTAGAACTGCTCAAAGAAGTCAGAGAAACAAGTTTATTGATTTATTTGAAAGAATATAATAAAAAATACAGATAAACAGCCAGATGAAGAGGTACACAGTGGGAAGTCTAGAAGGGTCCCATGCACAGGAGCTTCTGTCCCTATAGAGTTGGGGCATTTTATCCTCCCAGCACTTAAATGTGTTCACCAACCAGAAGCTCTCTGAACCCCATTAGAGATATTTATGGAAACTTCATCATGTAGTCATCAGTTATTAACTCAGTCTCCAGCTGCTCTTACCTCCTGGAGGATGAGAATGGGGCTGAGTTCCAAGCTCCTAATCACAGTTGGGTCTTTCTGGTGACCAGCCCCCATCCTGAAGCTATCCATGAACCTACCAAGAGTCACTTCATTAGAACAAAAGAATCTATCACCCAGGAAATTCCAAGGGATTTGGGAGCTCTGTGTCAGGAAGTGGAGTACAAAACGAAATACATTAAAACAAAAGATGCTCCCAGCACCCCCCGACCACCATCACTCAGGAAATTATAAGGGTTTTAGGACCTCTTGTATCAGGAACCAGGAGCAGAGACCAAATATATATTTATTATGTCACTGTGCAAAATACATACCTAGAATACATTGTTTATTAAAGCAAAAAAATTGACGATAGTTAACTGACTGGAACAGGGGGGAAATTCGTTTAACCTATTATTTCCAGCTATTAATAGTGATATCACTTTGAAGTTGCCTAAATTGTTTATTTTTTCCAGGTTTGAAGTAAATAATGGGAAACCACCACAATTTTTATACTGCTATTTCTAATGATGTCACTTATAAGGAACTTGAAAACCTGTTGAATTCTAAAAATATTATGTTAATTGATGTTACAGAGACATGGGGAATTCTGGAGTATCGAAAAATCCCTGGGTCTATCAATATACCATGTAAATGACATGTGTCTTAAATTATTAAAAAACATATAAATAATTTACTATATCTAAAATCTAATTGAAATTCTTAACATTTTCTTTCAGTGGATGAGGTAGGTGAAGCTCTACAGATGAACCCAAGAGACTTCAAAGAGAAGTACAATGAAGTAAAGCCCTCCAAATCTGACCACCTAGTGTTTTCTTGTTTAGCCGGAGTGAGAAGGAAGGCGGCCCTGGACACAGCAGTATCTCTGGGCTTTCACAGGTGTGTAGATGAAGGAAAAAATGGATGCATAAATGTATAATGCAATGTTTCATATATATTACATTTTTATATGTCTAAGAATTTCTTGTAATTATTGTCAGTAAGGCAGGATAGCAAAACTAAGGGCTTCTTGTCATCTTACTCAAAAGCAACACAATCTTTTACATAGGTGGAGTCTAAATTGTATGGTGAATAGCCATGGAATTATTTATCTCTAAATTTCCTATCTTCTGTTATAAAGTACAGAAAATGTTTATAGCGGCCGGGCGCGGTGGTTCACGCCTGTAATCCCAGCACTTTGGGAGGCTGAGGCAGGTGGATCACGAGATCAGGAGATCGACACCATCCTGGCCAACATAGTGAAACCCTGTCACTACTAAAAATACAAAAATTAGCTGGGCATGGTGGTGCACTCCTGTAGTCCCAGCTACTTGGAAGGCTGAGGCAGGAGAATCGCTTGAACCTGGGAAGCAGAGGTTGGAGTGAGCCGAGATCACACCACTGCACTCCAGCCTGGCAACAGAGCGAGACTCTGTCTCAAAAAAAAGTTTATAGCACTATTTGATGTATGTTTTCAGTGCTCAACACTATGCCAGAGGATAGGAAGAATGGGTAACCTATGAATTTTCAGAGAAGAAACAAGGAAATTGAATTTTTGGAATACAAGTTGGCTCTTTCCTTGTGTACATGCAGCCTAGGATAGTGGAATGAGCAAAATAATAAAAATCTAGTCCTGGCACCACTGATTACGGTAAGGGGATTTTTGTATAAGTCAATTAGTTGTTGAATCATTTTCTCATCTGTAAATTGAAAATGGTACTCTCACCTGAGATAATGCATGTTACTTGCCATGGAAATACAAGGGTTGGGATTCTAGGAATTAATTTTTAAGTAGCTTAGTGTCATTCAATAGTATTCTAAAAGACCAGGTTACTTATATTACCTAATCATGTATGACGTTTGTGTTAGTATACCTTCTATTCATCAAAGGGGCTATGAGCTAGACCTGCAGATTAACATGCAGATGTGGCCTTAAAAAAAAAAAAATCAATTAATTGGGGATCCAGAGAAGTAGGTGAAATTTGAACAACGCAAATACATTAACAGCTTCTAAAGACTTATAGCAGTGTTATGACCAGCATGGTAGTGATGAAATTTGCAATTTAAAAAATTAAAATTGGGCCGGGTGCGGTGGCTCATACCTATAATCTGAGCACTTTGGGAGGCCGAGGAGGGTGGATCACGACGTCAGGAGATCAAGACCATCCTGCCCAACATAGTGAAACCACCCGTCTCTACTAAAATACAAAAAATCATCTGGGCATGGTGGCGGCAGCCTGTCCCAGCTATTCGGGGCTGAGGCAGGAGAATTGCTTGAATCCGGGAGGCGGAAGTTGCAGTGAGCCGAGATCGCGCCACTGCACTCCAGCCTGGCAACAGCGTGAGACTCTGTCTCAAAAAAAATAAATAAAATAAAAATTTTGATTAATATGGGGATAATCAGAACAGTGGTTGCTGTTCTACAGGGAAGAAGATTAACTGGAAAAGGCAAGGAGGAGCCGGGCACGGTGGCTCAGGCCTGTAATCCCAGCACTTTGGGATGCCTAGGCAGGCAGATCGCTTGAGCTCAGGAGTTCAAAACCAGCCTGGGCAACATGGTGAAACCCAGTCTCTACAAAAAAAATACAAAAAATTAGCCAGCCACGGTGGTGCGTGCCACCACTCAGGGGGCTAAAGCAAGAGGATCACTTGAACCCTGGAAGATCACACCACTGCACTCCAGCTTGGGTGACAGAGTGAGATCCTGTCTCAGAACAACAACAACAACAAAATTGAAAAACAAAAAACAAAAGGCAAGGAGAGAACTTTCTAGGGTGATGGAAATGTTCTGTATCTTGACTGAGGTATTGGTACATAGGTATATACATTTGTCAAAACACACTGAACACTTAAATGTACATTTTTGGTAAGTGATTATACCTCAGTTTAAAAATAATGAGAACAAATGCCTAAATGTAAATGACTCCCACTAGCATGGGTATATTCCTTTGGAGTGTTAAGTCCTACACTTATTAGTGTGCTAATGCACTGGTGGCAAAATAAACCTGTTTTCTCTTGTCTGTGCCTCTTTAGACCCATGTATTTTTAGACTCACTCATGCAGTCATTCTTGTAGTAACTATAAGGACTTGTTTTTTCCTAAATGAGATGGAAGGCCATTGAAGAATCTGGGGTGGGGATGCAATTTGATCACCTTGAACTTCTATTTCTGATAATGTCAGAAATATATATATTTCTGTCAGTGCATGTGTGTGTATGTACATATATACACACACACACACACACATACACACACACATAGAAGAGCCATAATCTCAGGGAGAAGGAAAATTGTAGACAATGAACCAACATTGAAGTACTGGGCCCATCAAGGAATAGGATTCTGGGTAAATACATCAGGCTTTTAGTTGGAATCCCTGAAAAGCTATGCCCTAGAAGTAGAGGTGAACCAGAAATTCACAACCCCCACAAGAACTCAAAACAAGCTTTGAATCAACTAAATCCCTGAACGACTTAAGGTGATCTTCCTAATATCTTAAGGGCCTACCAGAAGTAAATCCTCTCTAGAGAAAGATACCATTATCTAGCTAGAGCAGAGTTGGCAATAATAAATCTTTTAGTGTTGTGGCCAATTAGGTTTCTGTTGCAACTGCTCAACTCTGCTGTTGCAGCACAAAAGCAGCCACAGACAATACATAATGTGACTATTCCAGTAACTCTACTTATGGCCACTTAGGTTTGAATTTTGTTTCATGTGTTGTCAAATATTCTTCATTTGATTATTTTTCAATCATTTAAACATACAGCAAACATTCTTAACTTAAAGCCAGGCAAAAACAGGTAGCAGGTCAAATTTGGTCCATGGGGCATAATTTGTAGATCCCTGAGCTACAGCCACAAATTATCCTTACAGTTTTTCACAAAGAATTTCACCTTACAATTTTCACACACAATTTCAGTATTCTACCAAAAATTACTAAGCACAGCAGTCAATAGGACTTTATGATTGAGAAACAATGGAAAAACATGACAAGAGAAATGGATCCACAGAAGATCTACAGATTGGGAGTTTTCAGACACAGACTTTAAAATAACTGTGATTAATATATTCAGTAACTTTGATTAAACACCCATTAGAAGGTAGACAGGTTTAATGGCAGATTAGACACGCCTGATGACAGGATTAGTGAAAATGGAGAAATCAGAGGTACATGTCTTAATATGGATGACTCTTACAATGTTGAGGGGAAAAAGCAAATTACAGAAACATATACAGTATAGTTTTTTTTTTTTGACAAGGTTTTTCACTGTTACCAAGACTGAAATGCAGTGGCAAGATCACAGCTCATTGCAACCTATACCTCCTGGGCTGAAGCAATCCTCCCATCTCACCCTCCAGGGTACCTGGGGCTACAGGCACACACCGCCACACCTGGGTAGTTTTTTCACTTTTTGTAGAGACAGGGTCTCGCTATGTGGCCCAGGTTGGTCTCAAACTCCTAGCCTCAGCTGATCCTACTCTTCTGCCTCCCAAAGCACTGGGATTACAGGCATGAGCCACCATGCCTGGCCAGTATAGTTTTTAAACATATAAAATATTGTATTATTATTTAGGCATATGGACATATATAGTGTACATATAAATAAATTATAAAAATAATAAATATCTAATTCTGAATGGTTTCCAATAGGGGAAGGGAGAGGAACACAATAGGCTTTAACAGTATTGTTGACAATTTTATTTAACATGTTTGGTAGGTAAGCACTTATTTTTACCTTTTGTATGCATGGGACAGGAACTGTTATCCCCACTTGGCTACACCTGAACAAGACTATACAATTATACCTTTGGATTCCTGGTACCCCCCCTTTTTTTTTTTTAAGAAAAAACTTGATAATGTATTCTATTTACCCAAATAAACAAAGGGTTAATAAATTAGAATAATGTTATCTTCTATATTAGCTCAAACTTATAAAGACAATTTTAGTTGTCAGTTATTCTGATATATTTAACAAATTTTATGTGTGTATATATATATGTGTATATATGTGTGTGCATATATGTGTGTGTGTATATATATATTTTTTAGATGGAGTCTCGCTCTGTTACCCAGGCTGGAGTGCACTGGCAGGATCTTGGCTCACTGCAAGTTCCACCTCCCGAATTCACACCATTCTCCTGCCTCAGCCTCCCGAGTAGCTGGGACCACAGGCACCCGCCACCATGCCCAGCTAATTTTTTTTCTATTTTTAGTAGAGATGGGGTTTCACCATGTTAGCCGGGATGGTCTTGATCTCCTGACCTCGTGATCTGCCCACCTTGGCTTCCCAAAGTGCTGGATTACAGGCATGAGCCACCGCACCTGGCTTTTTTTTTTTTTTTTTTTTTGAGACAGGGAGACAGGTTCTCACTCTTTCTCCCAGGCTGGAGTGCAGTGGTGCAATCTCCTCTCACTGCAACCTCTGGCTCTAGACAAATTATACATTTTTTTTTTTTAAAACCAGGTCTCACTCTGTCTCCCGAGTGGAGTGCAGTAGCATCATCACAGCTCACTGCAGCTTGACTTCCTGGGCAGCTCACGTGATTCTCCTGCCTCAGCCTCCTGGGTAGCTAGGACAAAAGGCACATACCACCACACCGAGCTAATTTTTCTAATTTTTGTAGAAGCAGAGTTTCACCATGTTTCCCAGGCTGGTCCCAAACTCCTGGGTTCAAGCAATCACCCTGCCTTGGCCTCCCAAAGTGTTGGGACTACACGCATGAGCCACAGCACCTGGCCTTATGCCAACAAAACTCTTAGGAGTAAAACCGTTATTAAGATCTGTAGTATCAGAGACCTCAAAATGTGAATATACAGCATATGATTTAATACATCATTTAATAAATGTCTGTTTATTTGAATAATGGGAGAATATCACTTTTACTTTGATAATATAAGGGTAGATCAAAAGTTTTAGATATGTATGAGAAAAGCCAGATTACATTTTTAAATGCTATATGTACTCTACATCTCTTTCATAATGGAATAGGAGGAAGATGTCCTGAAAAAACTGGCAACAGTGGATAGCCTCAGAGTTCTAAATCAATCAAAGTATCTCAGGTTTCTTTCATTCACATCATCTTTCTTCTCTGCTTATGATCTCAGTGGGGTTTCTTGGATTCTGAGATAATGTGCCCTTTTGCTATCTAGAATGTATATGCCATAGAAATACTGGATAGAGGTAGTAGGATCAGCAGCTAATCTATGAGAAATTTTGTATGATTAGACACAAAAAATTGAATGCTTGTCTTACCATCCAGTAAAAAATATTTTTCAGTGCCCCAAAAAACAGCAATTTATTAATGGAAAAATATAATTTTATCACCACCACTTTTTAATGCTAAAAGTTTCTCTGGGAGCAAAGGATTAAGAAGAAAAAAATAAATTTTAATAAGGTATTATTATTATTATTATTTTTTGAGACAGAGTCTGGCTCTGTTGACCAGGCTGGAGTACATTGGCTCGATCTCAGCTCACTGCAACCTCTGCCTCCCGGGCGGGTTCAAGCAATTCTCCTGCCTCAGCCTCCCAAGTAGCTGGGACTACAGGCACATGCTGCCACACCTGGCTAATTTTTTGTATTTTAGTAGAGATAGGGTTTCACTGTGTTGCCCAGGCTGTTCTCGAACTCCTGAGCTCAGGCAATTCGCTTGCCTCAGCCTCCCAAAGTGCTAGTATTATAGGCGTGAACCACCATGCCCGGCCAATAAGGTATTATAATGGCAGAATGTGGTTGAAGTGAATCCAAATAAGCATAATAATTGTTCCTACTTCACAGTAAAGTTTTGAAGATTAAATCAGATAACACATGTCAAATATTTAATACTTTGCCACTATTTATTACTGTGTGAATATGTACAATATGATACCTGTTTGTAGGCAGCTGATATTTTGTGTTACTGTTTGCATTAATTTAACATTAATGGGTAAAGATGGCAGGTGAAAACTCCTAAACATATGGGGGCAGGAATGGCAGTGGACTCCTTACTGAAAACAAGAAGATAAAGTGAAACTGAATACTGAACCGTGAGCTAGCTTCTTGCCTTATTTCGTCTCAGAACTGACAGCCCAGCTCCTATTACCTGAGATAAGCTTTCTCTCCAGAAAAATTAACCCACCTGAAGAAAAACCTTTAAAAAACCATGTTGGGGGTGTGAGACATGGCTAAGGAAAATGTTGTGCTGTTCTCTTACCTATAATGAAGCTCACCACTGAAAAGTCCTACCCATGTACACAGAGATGTTCCAGTTAGTTTTCTCTGTCTCTCTCAAATATGAAGGATCCCGAGACAATTACGGCCAAGATTCTAACTTGAAAGACTACGACCAAACCAAACAGCAAAAAGGAACTTAAAGGAAATAGTTTGAATAGCCCTTATCTGAAACAGCTGGGACCAGAAGTGTCTCAAACTTTGAAATATCTGCCTATATATGCGGTATCTTGGGGATGGGATCCAAGTCTAAACAAAATTCAGTTATATTTCATGTATACTTAATACAAATAGCCTGAAGTTAATTTTATACAGTATTTTGAAATAATTGTGTACATGAAACAAAGTTTTGACTGTGACCCATCACATAAAATCAGATAGGGAATTTTCTACTTGTGGCATCATGTTGGCACTCAAGAAGTTTTGGGTTTTGGACAATTTGGATTTCAGATTTTCAGATTATGGATGCTCAACCTGTAGCGTTAATGCAGGGAACAAAGAAAATTTTAAAACAACCAAAAAAACCTAAGTTAATATCCTTAGAATTTTGAGAAGCCATTGCACTCTCCAGAACAAGGTACTACTTAAAAGACTTAGATTACCAGCTAAGTGGAGTGTCTCATGCCTGTAATCCCAGGGCTTTGGGAGATCGAGGTAGGAGGATCACTTGAGGCCAGAAGTTTGAGACCAGCCTGGGAAACACAGTGAGACCCCTATTTCCTCAAAAAATTTAAAAATTAGCTGTGCAGCCATAGTCCTAGCTACTGAGGAGGCTGAAGTGGAGGACTGCTTGAACTCAGGAGTTCAAGGTTACAGTGAGCTGTGATGGTGCCACTGCGCTAAAACCTGGGTGACAGAGGGAGACCTTATCTATGGTGAAAGAAAAAGACTTGGATTCCCCATATCTTAAATGCAAGAGAAAACAAAAGGAAGTCCCAATATGATCAATTCTATTACGAGAACTATGTTACTTGGACAGTAGTCAGTCCTGACTGAAGGCTGTAGAACTCCAACAAGTCTCCCTGTGATTTGGAGAATAAAAAATGACAAACGATTCTGATGATCAATTAATAGAAGATACAAATGAAGCTGAACAAATTACAACCAAGGCAATTACTACTTGCAGAAATACAAAAATATGATAAAGAAAATGTAATCATGGTATGCTATAGAAGACAATATTATGTATATTTATATATTAGATATGAATTTAACAAAAATTATACAATTAAGTGATGACAGGAGTAGAAGTCCCAGTGTAAGATCAGGTTAGGGAAGGAGAATAGGGGAAGTATGAAAAGCAAAATCATCTTCCATAGCAGGGAGTTAGATAATATTTGTATTAAAAAAAAAAAATGAGGGGAGTGTAGGAGGCAATATGGTAATATATTTGGAGGTCAGAAGCCCAGATTTTAAAAAATGCTTTATTTATTTTTTAATAAACAGAGATAGAGTCTCGCTTTGTTGCCCAGGCTGGTGTCGAACACCTTGCCTCAATCCTCTTGCCTCAGCCTCCCAAAATGCTGGGATTATAGGCATGAGCCCCCACGTCTGATCAAATGCCCAGATACTAAGAATTAGAATCTAATCCAAGCTCTGTCACTTACTTAATCTGTGACTGGGTAAATTACTTAATATTTCTGCTCCAGAGTTTCATCATCTTTAAAATGATTGTTCTAAGAATTTACTTCATAAATGCAGAGAGCTTAGAACATAATTGGCACACTTTTAATAAGTGTTCAAATAAATGTAATTAAAACCTTGTCACTTGGACATGTGGAAGTAAACAGCAGAGAAGTGACTAAAAGTTGAAAGTGGCTGCCTCTGGAGAATGGGAATGAGAGGCAGGGAGAATGGGACAGGGGTCTAACATTGTCTCTATAATGTCTTACAGCAACACTGTCCAACAGAATTTTTTTTTTTTTTTGAGACAGAGTCTTACTCTATTATCCAGGCTGCCCAGGCCAGAGTGCAGTGGCATGATCTCAGCTCACCACAGCCTCTGCCTCCCAGGTTCAAGCAATTCTCCTGCCTCAGCCTCCTGAGTAGCTGGGATTACAGGCACCTGCCACTACGCGTGGCTAATTTTTTTATTTTTTAGTAGAGAGGGGGGTTCACCATGTTGGCCAGGCTGGTCTCGAACTCCTGACCTCAGGTGATCCACCTGCCTCGGTCTCCCAAAGTGCTGGGATTGCAGGCGTGAGCCACTGCACCTGGCCCAATATAATTTTAATGCAAACCATTACATGATTTTAAATCTTACACTTAAAAAATTTAAAAGTAAAGTGAAATTAATTTTAATGTTTTATTTAATCCTATGTATCCAAAATATTTAAAATATGTAATCATTATAAACAAATTAGAGATTTTATATTCTTATGTTTTGTACTATTTGAAACCCAACGTATATTTTTACATTTACAGCACATCTCAATTCACACTAGCCACATTTTAAGCGTTCAATAACCACAAGTGGCTAGTATCTATCACACTGGGCAATGCAACCTATTTGATTTTTAAAAACAATACATATCATCAATGGCTATTAAATCATAGAGAAACCCAGCCATTTTATGTCTCCTGATTAAAAACTACTACTTCATTTGTACAGTGGTCTACCAAAAAAAAAAAAAAAAAAAAGACAGACAAAAGGAAGCAAGCAAACAAGCAAGCCTGAATCTGATCAAGCCTGTAGATTCAATCACCAATTTACAGAAAATATGGAGGAGAAAATAACACAATAAATGGCATGTCAAGGATGCAATCAGCAAAATCCAGATGGTGAGAGACTCTTAATAGACAAGCAAACCAAAAACAGAAATTTTAAAAATGTGACTGAGAAGGAATTCATGAATTTAAAAAGACATGGCCGGGTGCAGTGGCGCATGCCTGTAATCTCAGCACTTTGGGAGGCTGAAGTGGACAGATCACTTAAGGTCAGGAGTTCCAGACCAGCCAGGCTAACATGGCAAAGCCCTGTCTCTAATAATACAAAAAATCAGCCAGGGGTGCTGGCACGTGCCACAGCTACTCTGGAGGCTGAGGCAGGAGAATCACTTGAACCCAGGAGGCCAAGGTTGCAGTGAGCAAGATTGCGCCACTGCACTCCTGCCTGGGTAACACAGAGAGACTCTGTCTAAAAAAAAATAAATAAAATAAAATAATAAAAAGACAAAAGATTTGTTAATAAATTGTAATGTGTGATCCTTATTTAGATCCCGACTAGAACTCTTTGACAATTTTTATACTTGTGAAATAACTGAAAATCCGATATTATTTTTACTAATTCTTTTTGAGGCACAATAATACTTTTAGTTTTTTAAAAGAACTATTATTTATTAGGAATACATGCTGAAATATTTATGAATTACATGATATCTAGGATTTGCTTCAAAATAACATGGGGGATGGCAAACTGGGGAAAGTGGGTGCAAGTTTAGATGAAATGAAATTGGTCATAAATTGACAACTACTGAAGCTGGATGATAGATACATGGAGGTTCCTTACATTACTTTATTCCTGTATGTTGTTTTAAATTTTCCACAATAAGAGATTGAAAACAAAACTATGAGGCACGGTATTAATTTTAAAAATAAAAACTTAAAAGACTATAGGTCTTACCTAAGCCCAACATTAATTCCTTCAGACCTGAGGAGAGCTTTTTTTCTTATTAAGCCTAGGAAACCTATATATGTTATCAGTCTTGACTTTACACATAGTCTCCCTTTCCAGTTCATCTGATACTCTCCATCAGGAATATATTTTCTATTTAAAATGTTTATAAATGATTTGAAATTACCCCCTTGACAACCTATAAAAGGCTTTAACACTTAACTAAAGGAAGAATTCTCAAAAAACAACATCAGGCAAATTCAAAAGATAAATTCAAGACACTAGTCGATACAGCTGAGGAAGTTACTTTTATTCTTGCAGTTTTATACTAGGAAGTCAACATTTAATTTAATAAGCCATCATCCACAATTGATTAAAAATGTTTAATCCTTAAATTGTACATCAATATCCTATGACTCCAAATTTTATTTCTTACTCTCCTTCAAGTCTGAAGAAAATGATTAATTTGCTAAGTTCCACAGACAGTACAGTCCCACTGACATAACATTTAGTATGATGTCCTACTCTCGTATTAGAATTAAGGATAGCCAGTATCAAACTGGCCTGAAACCTGATTGTGTTCCTGGTTCAGAATACCTGTAGTAAATTTGTAAATCCACACCAAGACACAACATTAAACTAGGGTGTGTATATCTTATAAAAAACTTTTCACAGTAAAAATCAACGTTAAAATTTTACCAAATTCCAACATTATGGGTTTTGAATCCAATTAAGCTTTCAAAATGCCTGATTAGCTGTGACTTAATTATAAATAACTTCATGTAGTTTGCCCAGCATTTCAAAATGGTTATGGACTATAACGTTTAAAATGTCAAAGTATGCTATACATATTGCACTTTTCTGCTAGGCTGGGCTAGTATCTTCCATGGCAAGATCCTCAAACTATTGAGTAAAATATACTTTTAAATCAATATAGGTACTTGATTAATTTCCCTGAAATTATCAACATCATTACCAAAATCTTCCAGGATTTTGTAAGATTTGATTCCTTAAATACAGTTTTAAAGTTAAACTTATGGAGGGAAAAAAACCCTCATATATTGACTGTAAATTTTACGTCCTTTTTTGGTCCCTCAACGACCAAAGAGAATTTTAAACAAATTATGCTTCATGTTTCCTGGCTTAATAAAAAGCTACAATTTTTATTATCCAAATTAAGAAATATTATACTAATCAAAAGCTATTAATTTTGAAATGTCTATGTATGTCTGTCTGTAGGTCCCCTTAGAACCTTTCCAAACATTTATAATCAAGAGATTTTAATCAATTATGTACTAGAATCATATTAAAGAAAAACTTATTTTGCAAAAATAAAATCACTTTCCAATATGCTTGACAGAAACAAGCTATTCATTTTCATTTGTGTTCCACTGAAGACATTACTGAAATCTGTCCAATGGTTTATTTCCAAGTGGTCCACTACGGAATTCTTCGGAATGTTTTAAGATTGGCTGTAGCTAGAGTTCTGACTTCCATTTGGACCCTGCTCTCCTTCACTGTTCAAATGGGGAAGAAAAAGATTTTATACCAATTAAAAGATCCATTTTTACACCCTGATAAGCCTACTGACTTTTAAATTCATTATTCTGTGGCACAACTATACAAAATAAAGACATTCCTCATTATAAGACATGTGAAAAATTAAAATCCAGAAGACTAACATTTGGTTTTATGTTTTTATTCTTATATAACTTTGTGCCCTCACACATAACAAACATTCTGGAAGTTAGTGTCCATATATACTCAAAAACTTTATGGTATGGGATTTCATTGTTATTACAGGTATCACTCAACATAGAGATTACAGCTTCTTCTAAACAAATTTCCTATAAAATTAAGTCTTACATATAAAATCCTATTCCTACTATTTATGAAAAACAAGAAGTGTTCTTCAAAAAAAAAAAAACAAAAAAAACTGTTGTCCAAAGGCACAATAAAATCATACATAAATATAGCAAACCTTTATAAGTCAGCAAGAAATATGGTAATTTCCTGGAAAATGCTGAATACTTAAAATAAAAATGCTGAATACTTAAAAATAACTAAAACTGAAAATACCAGTAACTTTGGCAATAGGATTATTGCCTTATCTTGTCCACCATCATCTTGCAGCTTCAGGCCCTGCCACTAGTGGAGAATCACTCAGGGAATTTCTGCAAAAAATGCATCCAAAGGTAGCTGTTTGAATGACTGCCTTAAACAGCTCCTTGAATAAAGTATTAACTTTTTCCAAATTGTAACATTAACTTATCAGTAGCAATCCATAAATCTATCTTGTTATATAACAATCATTTTTCTAAAGAAACAATTAAAATGGATGGCATTTCTTTATTTCCCTTCTGACTTTTTCTCCCTGCCCCACATGAACTGATACACAGTGAGGGCGGAGAACCACTGAACTAAATGAATAGATCTTACTTAAAACACACACACACACACACACACACACACACACACACACACACCCAATAACAACAGCAAAAACCCTCTTAGCACAGGTGATTCATTATTAGCAAAAATATATTCTTATGTGCTGTGGATCTTAGGGTCACTTTAAAACCAAAATTCTTTATCTTTACAATATCAGATCATTCACTGAAAGTTTTGAAAATTGCTACTGAAATTTATAAAACAGGACAAATAGCTGGCAGTGGAAAAAAAAAAAAAAGATGGCACAGAGTCAAACTGACATGAAACTACTATAGTTCTGAATTCTGCCCTGAATTTCAGATGAACTTGCCTAATTCTGTCAGCTTTAAATTTATGGTATATGACCATATGTTGAGAGATACCTGTAATATACCTTCACTGCATTAGGAAAAGTTACTAATCAGATTAGCGATTTTTTTAAAATGAGACATTTTCAATCAAATCACAAATTTAAAAAATTAAATTAACATGGATCATGAAGTTTTAGAAGAAATGTTTTAAAAACTACAAAACAACATAATCTAAGAAAAATATGGTATGATATATAATTAAATGACATCAATAATTAAAGTCTACAAAGTACCTGTTTGGAGGTGGTTTTGGTTTCGGCATCTTACTAAGAATGGTTGCCATCTCTTTTCTCTCATCGAAATTCTTCCACTGCTCATATAGTTTTAAAATAACCCTGATTATTTCCAAAATCTAGAAGAAAATATTTGAGAAGTTCTCAGTGGCAAAAACAAGCAACATTTATTATATAAAGAGTGTGCATCACTTACTACACAACCCTCAGAAAAGAGTAGTCTCTGTCCTTAAATCCTGATAAATTTGAAAGCAGTATTTTTCACCACAATGCTGTTTAGGATTTTCCTTCTAGCCTCTCATTTTTCAGCATGTGTGCATTGTCCATTCTTATCTATCTCTGCAGTTGATTTCCTTCCATCTGATGATATCTTTTAAACGGAAACATACTAAGAATAAAGGTTCTAATCATGAGGGAATATACCATTATAGGGCACACTCCTCTAGTATAAATTATTTTAAACAACTTAATGGGGGGGTAGTGCACAAAAGATGTTTTGATTCTCTGTTAACTACACATACATTAAGGTGTTCAAAAACTGGCAGCTACAAATTTGAAATAACTAGTTTCCAAATTAGCCGTTTTTTCCCACCTGAGTAGAACCTAACCTTAGGATTAATTTTAATGCATCTAACACTTGAGCACAAAAGCTAGAAACACAGCAAAAGCCACTTTGCCAGGAGATAGGTTATGTTACAGAAGTTCACAGTAGTATTCAGTGGTTACCAGGGAGCTTTTAAAATAATCCTGGGAATTAGAGGCTACTTTGCAACCAATCAAACCAAAAGTTTACCATTCTGTTTAATCCTAAACTGAAAAGAGATACATAGCTTAAATAATCAGTATTAAGTCTTCCTACCAAACTTTTTTTTTTTTTTTTTTTTTTTTAAGACGGAGTCTTGCTCTGTTGCCCAGGCTCACATGCAGTGGCATGATCTAAGCTTACTGCAACCTCCGCCTCCCAGGTTCAAGCAATTCTGTCTTAGCCTCCCGAGTAGCTGGGAGTACAGGTGCATGCCACCACACCCGGCTAATTTTTGTATTTTTAGTAGAAATGCGGTTTCACCATATTGGTCAGGCTAGTCTTGAACTCCAGACCTCAGGTGATCCGCCCACCTAGGCCTCCCAAAGTGCTGGGATTACAGGCATGAACCACCACACCCCGCCCATGTTTCTTAATATTTTGTAACCAATAATCTTCTTAGCCTGGTGGACATCATAAGATTTTAGGCTCATGATAAGTACATACGACATTAATTTTTAAACATTCAAGTTTACATACAACTAAGGGAATTTTACAGAATACCTTTTCCATATCCACAGAAAGCTCAGCAAACCATTGCCTGGCGTCTTTCTGCTGTACAACACAGGCTACATGTAGGCAAGCTGAAATGAAAATGAAAGACAACTATCCATGTTTAACTGCAAACACAGAATATGACCTAACAAAGATTTTTCACTAAAAAATTTCCTGTGTATTTTCCAACACTCTTTAAAAAAAATTAAACAGCTACATATGAGAGTTACCATTGACCACCTCAACAATGTAATCCGAGACAGAAAAAATTACTAATTACATCAAGTTCTTGACATCTGGTCCTCGCTGCGTGCTAGTCACGGTGCAGTTGCCTTGAGAGTCAGGCAAGTTAAAGAGAAAAAACATTCAGTGAGGAGAATGGAAAAGGGAAGTTATCTCTGAGTAGTGTACAAAGCAGCAGTTAAACTGCACCCAGAAGTCAGTGCGAAAAAACAAACAAAAATGTCAATTAATACACTAGGTTTTAACAATGTTGACTATATTTCCACATTTCAGTTAAAAGCAGTGTTGCCTCGTCTTTTTTCTTCCTTTTCATTATTAGCATATGATCAAGTTATGTGAAAGCTGGGCACATCCTTACAGAATTCAGTGTTGTAATCAAATAAAAGTTAGAAAAAAAATGTAATATACTGTATACAAAATTAGTTATATATGTTATATACAATATAAACAAAAGAGAACAATCTACATCACAACTTTGCCTAAAACAATTTCTACTGAGCAGCCTGGATATCCTGAACTGACCCCAGCTTAAGTTATACTCCTTGGTCTGGTTATCCATATGTCTTTGCTAAGGATGACATTCTAGGCAAATAGCAACTCAAATGTGAACTGACACACTGGTTGCCCTAAGTCAAGCAAAGCTATGAGTAGGGCTTAAGTCAAGAAGGGGTTAAAAAACTAAAGGACTGAAATGATAAAAACAGGAAATTAAAATACAGTGGACAATGCTATTAACATGGGCATGCATAGAGTACACTGGAGATCGAGAAAGGATCCTAAACCCAGACTGAGGTGATGCCGAAAGGGTGGGGGAGGGTCACTGGGAGATATCTAAGCCAAGTCTTAACAAAAAAAAAAAATAAGAGTGGGAGAAGAGAATAGTATGTATATCAATTGGGAGATGAATTCGGCTGGCTCCAGGTTTCTCAATCTTGGCACTACTGACATCTTAGGTTGAACAATTCTCTGATACTGTCTTGAATACTACAAGATGCTTGGCAGCATCCCTGGCTTCTACGCACTAGATGCCAGTAGCACCCTACCCTAGTTATGACAACTAAAACCAAACATTGCCAAATGTCCCCTCAGGGCAAAATTATCCCCAGGTGAAACCACTAGCTTCACTCAACAGTTTGGAGGATAGACAGGCTCTCTGAGGGTGGGAGTGCTGTAGGCTAATAAGCCAGTTAGGAGACTGCTGTGGTAACATGGATAGAAATGAGATGACTATGAGATTACAGAAGGAACAATTGAGATGAAGGCACAAAATGTATTGGTAAACAACTACATGTGGGTATTGAGGGAGATGAAAGGGCCTAACTGCTGGGTTTCCAACTAAGGTATATAACTCGTGCTATTCACCAAGCTGGCAAAGACATTAAAAGGAGGAACATATTTTGGGGCAAAGTGATGAGCTCAATCCTCATCATGAGGCTGAGGTGCTGCTGGGATGCCAAGTGGAGCTATGTAAAAGGAAGATGGATATAAAGAACTGAAAAGTGGCAAGATCTTGGCTAAATAAAGAAATTTAAATGTTTCAGCACATAAGTGATAGTAGAAGCCATGAATCTCATGGAAAGTACCCAAGAAGAAAACTGCAGGGATGGCAAAGATGTGACACATGTTGTTATCCCTTCCTTCCTACCTATAGAGATCCCAGTATTCGTACCCGCTGAACCCAGACACCACTTCAAAAATCCTTTCAAATCCAGTCCTTTCAGGGAGCTGCCAGTAATAGAGGAGTGTAAGTATAACCTATTTGTCAGCCCTGATGTAAGAAGGCCAAGAAACATCAACATTTAAGGAATAATTAACAACTGAACAAAGACAAACCAATGGAAAATAAGAGGGGAAAATCAAGAGGATGGAGTTATAAAAATCAATAGAAGGGGCTGGGCACGGTGGCTCATGCCTGTAATCCCAGCATTTTGAGAGGCCAAGGAGGGTGGATCACCTGAGGTCAGGAATTCAAGACCAGCCTGGCCAACATGGTGAAACCTCATCTCTACTAAAAATACAAAAATTAGCCAGGTATGATGGTGCATACCTATAATCCTCCTGTAGCTACTCAGGAGGCTGAAGCAGAAGAATCGCTTGAATCCAGGAGGCAGAGGTTGCAGTGAGCTGAGATCACACCACTGCACTCCAGCCTGGGAGACAGCGAGACTCCATCTCAAAAAAAAAAAAAATCAACAGAAGGAAAAGGAACAAAATTAACAAGTGCCCAATATATAACAGGCATTATTTGGTGCTGTACAAGCTATCTCATTTAATTCTTCAAATGGCTCAGTGGAATTACTAGTATTCTCTCCATTTTACAATTAAGGAAACAAACACGGAAAGGTCAGATAATTTTCCCACAATTGTAAAGGAAGTAAAGTTTAAGCCTAGGACTATCTGACTCCACCCATTACAGCACTGCTTTCCACAGACAGTAGAATGAATGTATCTAACTTCTTCCTCCAGCCAAGCATTATGGACCACAGATGCTCCTTTACACAACCTCTGAGTACTTGTTTGGGCTCAAGATATGAAAGGCCCAATTATTTTACATGCTACAACTAATATTAGCTGGCTTAATTCTGAACTTTTCCCTCTAAATAAACAAATATGTTCTATTCAGACACTGATTAAAACTATTTTGAATGGTTTAAAAAAAAAAACTTACCAAAAAAAGGGGGTGGGGGAATAATAATCCTGATTTGTGACAGTTGCAGTTCATATTATTGAAAGTTCACATGCAAGGATTAGTCTATTACTTCATGGAACATAAAAACACAAAGTACAACAGGGTGAAATTTAGTTTAGGATGACCTAAATAGGTTTATAACTAATTTAACTAATAAAGGCACACCATGCTTACATACCTAAAGCTATCATGAAAGGAGGATACAGTAGGCAAAGATCCGTTCTGTAGGTATCATTCACTATCCTCCTATAGAAATGTAAATCATATTATTACTGAAAGCAGAACTACCTCATCTGGTTGTACATTTCCTCCAGAGAGGGCCAGATTTCTCATCTTTGCACACATTTATTTCCTTTTATATTACTGAAGCACAGCTATAAAAGTGAAAACATCAAGGCAAAAGGATGGATACATGAATGTGATAACAAATAAGCACGTATCAATGAATAAAATTACAGCTAAATATATTTTAAATTTCAAAATCTCATAACAAATTATAAACACATTTTTCTAATTTTTGAAAAATCAAATTAGAAAAACAGAAATTATACAGTAAATTTATATGTATGTTGCATACTACCAAAAAGTATTCTGATTACTTTAAAGATAGCTTCAGTCTTAATTTTTATGTTAACAGTCTGTGTTTTGTATAAAATTAAATTTTAATAGGTATATTTATGGAACAGATAATTTAGGATTGTTTTCATTTTGGCATTTACACCACTATAGTTATTAAAATTCAACAAGTGGTATTTTGCTCAACATAAAATATCTTGGGGCAATAGTTTAATGACTTTAAAAATACTGGACTTCATATTTAATTGTCAACCTTCCTATCTAATAACACGTTACACTATTAATAACTTCTGTTCTAATTACCATGCAAGGGGAAGCAACATGTCTTCTTGGCCCATGTCCTGCACATACTGGAGCAAAGGTCTATAAGGATGATACACTATCAAGCAACAATCCTAGAAACAGTTTAAAAAATGTGTATGTATAAAAAACAGATTTATTACAACACAAAAATGTTATCATTACCCAACTGATTTGTAATTGTGTATTTCAAAGTGAATTTCACTAACTCATGCTTGCTTCCCTTTTATTCTCTTAAGCAAGCAGTATGACAGCCCTAAACTCTACTATAATAGTGAAGGCAGTGCTCTCTCTGGAATATACCTTGATAAATCGGTTGGCAGTCAGTCAGCATCCATTCATTCCCTTAGAGACTCAAAGTGTCACATCTGCAACACACTGAAACCTCTTATTAGCCTATAAATCCATAATTCCCAACTGGAGGAGCAGAATTCTGCCAAAGACATAATCTATCTTTAAATAACACTGCACGCACACACAAATTGTGCACATAATTTACGGTGGTTTAATGTCCTGACTTGTCTGTTTGTAATCCTTTCATTATAGTTACTTACTATAGAACAGAAAAATTTTCTCATCCCTAAGTAGGATATACAAATTATTTTACAGGCATCAGAGAGACTCTAGATGCTAATATAAATAGGCTACCATGATTTCACCATCACATATCAGGTGGATGGTTTTAAAATGTACCTCCCTAAAATAATTTCTTTAAATAATTTCCAACTTCATTAAATTTTAAAAATGTTTTAATCTATTAATCACAGAAGATTTACTTACCATTAGTTCTAAAAGATAGAATTCACATTCTAATATCTGTTGAAAACAAAGATTATCAATGAAATGTTAATATGAAACCAAATTAGATAAGTCCATCCACTTAATCTAACATAAATTACAGACATTATAGTAATTATTAAAAATGTTTACTAAAAAGTTTTTAAAATCCAGACAATAAACATAGTTTATATTAAAATAAATATCTGCAATAAAAAATTACTATATTATACATGCAATTATGATTATAAAGATTTTAATCCTTGTAAGGAAAAGCCAGCTTCTCACAATCATTCTTATTACTCACTTTTATTTAAAATATCCTGTAAAACCATCAGATTTTCCAGTATACTTTCTAATACAATTATTTCTACTTAATTAAAAAAATGTAACTTAAAGAGAATAAACAAATCCCTTGCAAGGTGGAAAAAGGACATACCTATTAAAATGTCAATAAAAACTCACCTTATATTTCATATTGTTCCATTAGTTTTTAATCCCAGCTGAATAGTAGTATCACCTGGGAGCTTTTACACAGTACCAATGTTGGGAGCCCCAAGCCTGAAAATTCTGATTTTGTTGTTCTGGAAAGGATCCAACATCAGTATTATTTACAAGTTCCCAAGGTGATTTAATGAGCAGCCAGGGTTGATAATCACTACTATGAAGTATTTTTTTAAATGGTAAAAGTTATTTAGCTTTAATTTAGAATAATGTCTGTATTTATGTAATATTTGAAACTGCCATTTCTAGGAAACTACTAAATTTAGTCTAATATAGTATAGAGCTAATTTATATATAGCTTTGATAAGTGTTCTATTTTATACCATATACTTACATGATTCATCCTATAAGGAAATTCCTTTGGAAAGGCATATGAAAATCTAGTTTTTACTGCAGAAAAAAAACAAAAAACAATTTAAACTGAGAAAATGGGAAATGAATTAACTCAAAATTCCTTTAACAGAGCAGAATATTAGAGGGTAGAACAAAATTATTTTCAGTAGGAATTCTTGGCAATACTTAGGGACGCAGATTTTTATTTATTTTCAGGGAAGGGGAAAGACTAGGTGGCAGGACACCCTACACAACTTCAATTTTATATTTACTACCTTGAGAAAGGGTTCTGATGTTTAAAAAAGAAAAAGATCAGGAAAAAAAAAATCACTGGCTTTTTTTTTTTATTTATTTTTTTTTTTTGAGACGATTCACGCTGTTCCAGCTGGATGCAGTGCGCATCTCGCTCACTGCAAGCCCCCCCCCCCCATTCCTCCTCAGCCTCCTGAGTACTACTATAGCCCCCACCGCCGCTATTTTTTTGTATTTTTAGTAGAGGGTTTCTGTGTCTAAACCTTTTTAGCTATAGAATGGTATTCTTCTGTTTTCCAGTGATTGCGCTTAGAAGGAACACGGGGGTTACATATGTGTTTACAATATATATAGTTGGTGAAACATATACATATAAAATATTGGGAGGATAGTATACCAAAAAAATGTTAACAGTGGTTATCTGTGAGATTTAAGAACTTTTTACCAATCTGCACTTTCTAAACTTTTTACAATGACCAGGTATTTATCAAAATATATATTTTAATAAAAGCATTAATATATGTGCAAAGGTAACACATAAAGTTACTCAAAGTAGTAGTAGTAACACATAAAGTAGTACTCTATTATCTATTACTTTATTGGTTAGTCACTAAAGTACAAATGAAAAAACAATGTTAACCATCAATCCCCCATCTCTTTAAAATGGTGTGAGCATATACATATAAGTACTATTTGAGAAATTGTATTCAAGCCATTATGACACATTTAATTCAACCAAGTATTTACTGACAGGTCCTAAAAAATGTTTGGTGTCAGCTTCCATTTGCACAAAGCCCAAGTGATCTCACTGAAATTAAAAGAAATTCCATTTCTAGCCAGGCACGGTGGCTCATGCCTGTAATCCCAGCACTTTGGGAGGCCAAGGCAGGTGGATCACCTAAGGTCAGGAGTTCCAGACCAGCCTGGCCAACATGGTGAAACCCCATCTCTACTAAAAATACAAAAATTAGTCAAGTGTAGTGGCATGCGCCCGTAGTCCCGGCTACTCGGGAGGCCGAGGCAGGAGAATCCCTTGAACCTGGGAGGTGGAGGGTACAGTGAGCTGAGAACACACCACTGCACTTCAGCCTGGGTGACAGAGTGAGACTCCATCTCAAAAAAAAAGAAAAGAAATTCCATTCCCTCTATGCAGTATATTTTCAAAAAGATTTGTTTTGCAAATTAAGTGCCCTACAGCTAATTTAGATGCGTAATATCTGCCAGGATTTGAAACCTAGAAAAATTTAAACTTGACATTAGTAAATTTATAATCTTTCCTTTCTTCTCTCCTTTATTTAAATTAAGACGTACCTATTAAGGTTTCTGAGTTTTACAAATCCTTGTGATGTAAAGTATACCAGGAAAACAGGTTCTTATATAATGGTAGACAATCAACAAAGTAAAATTACCTCTGTATATAAAACAAATCTACATCCCCATCCCCTGGACCTGGACACTAACACCTCTATTGAGAATATATTTACCTGATACTGTCACAACATATCTGTTACTCCACGCTAAAACTGCTCTGCATTTTTTTCTATCTTTTAATCCTTTTCTTTCAACTTGGAGAAAAATGCCTCCCTCCTCTCTATTGTTTGTCTTACCACTTATACATTTGTTATCATCTATTCAATTGATAACTCCTACTATTTTTTTTCATCTTTAACCTTTCCTCCTTCAGTAAATCTTCCATCACATACTGATATGCTCAAACTTCCCTTGAAAAAAGCAAAACAAACTCTACCTCATTATATTCCTCTGCCTTTTATTTTTGTGGACTCAAAAACTGAGATCATGCACAGTTCTCTTATACCCACCGTTATAGACTTGCCAGCCTCCGGAACTGTGAGAAATAAATGTCTGTTGTGAAAGCCACCCAGTCTATGGTACTTTCTCATATTAGCCCAAGTGGACTAAGACATGCCTTCACCCAGCTTCCCCTACTACTAACATCTTACGTTAGTATGGTGCATTTGATACAATTACTGACCCAATATTGAAATGTTATTATTAACTAAACTCTGTACTTTGTTCAGATCTCCTTAGTTTGTACCAATGTCCTTTTTCTATCCTAGGGTCTCATCTAGGATACCACATTACATTTATTTGTCACGTTTCCTCAGGATGTTTGGCTAGATAACAACTCTTAATTGTTATCTAGCCTTTCCTTGTTTTTGATGACTTTGACAGTTTTTAGGAGTACCAGTCAAGTATTTTGTCGAATGCTCCTCTACTGGAATTTGTCTGATGTTTTTCTCATTAGACTAGAGAACATGGGTTTTTGACAGGAAGACCACAGAGATAAAGTACCATCTTCATCATATCACATCAAGGATACATGGTATTAATGTGATTTATCACTGTTGCTATTGACCTTGATCGCCTGGCTAAGGCAGTATTTGTTAGGTTTCCCCACTGTAAAGTTACTTTTCTCCTCCCTTTCCATATGTACACATGTATAGCCAACACCTTACGAGTGGGAGTTATGCTCCCTCTACTTGAGGGCAGGGTAGCTACATATATTATTTGGAATTCTTCAGCATGGAAGACATGTCTTTTCTCCTTCATTTATTTATATCAGTATGGACTCATGGATATTTAGTTTATACTTTAAGTTATTACCCAATGCTATTTTTAAAATTTTGATGGTCAAATTATTTCAGTTTTGGTCAGTGCTCTCTTAGTTGGCTCCTATATCCTTCTGACATATCCTCATCAATGTAGGTTTTTGTTTTTCTTGTTTGTTTTGAATACTTCTTTATTACTGGCATTATGAGATGGTCCAGGTCCATCTTGTGTATTTCTTGCCCCAGTCCTAGAATCAGCCATTTCTCCAAGGAGCCCTGGTACCTTTTATTGGAGAATTTTATTAGAAACCAAGACATGGGTACTAGGTGAGCTCACCGCTACTGGGATGTCATTGCTTATAGACTCTTTCAGCTGAGAAAGCCAAGAAATATACACATTAACCCATTTATATACACATATCTATAAGTATTTCTATATGTAACCATCCATATTGTATTAAGGTACAGGAGTTCATGCTGTTTCCAGCCCTTTGTTTATCTGTAAATTCCCACTCCAACAATGAGAAACCCGGCTCTCAAACATTTGCTATTGATTTACGTAATTGTTTAATTCCCATATACATGTATAACATTATCAGAATTGTTAACTTGTACACCTATGGGTAACAACTTTATCAACTAGAGTACAGTGCTTATGTGTAGTTCCTTTTGCCTTTACTCTTACACTCTAATCATTTCCAAAGCTACTTATGTCAACACCTTTCCCCCAATTCCTTTCACTGAGGTCGTTTCATATATTTGTAATATAGTTAGACTATTCCTTTCTCAGCACCTACTCACTTCTTAATTTCTTGCAATCTGGCTTCTACCTCTACCCCCACATTGTTAATAACACTATGCTCTCTCTCAAAGATCTGTTTTCTTCTTTGGTTCACAACTTTTTTTATGCAGCATAAGACATTGTGCAACTCTTTTATTTTTATTTTTATTTTTAGAGACAGAGTCTTACTCCGTTGCCCAGGCTGGAGTGCAGTGGCATAATCATAGCTTACTGCAACCTTGAACTCCTGGGCTCAGGCAACCCTCCCACTTCAGCCTAGTTGAGTAGACAGGACTACAGATGAGTAGCTAGGACCACAGGTGTGTACCACCATGCCCAGTTAGTTTTTCTTTAATTTTTTGCAGAGTTGGAATCTTGCTATGTTGTCCAGGCTGGTCTTGAACTCCTGTTCTAAAGCAATCCTCCTGCTCCAGCCTCCCAAAGTGTTCAGATTATAGGCAGAAACCACCATGCCTGGCCTGTGCAACTCTTAAATGTTATCAAATTCCAAATTTCTACTGCTGGCCTCACATTTTTAAGAGGATGTTCTACTGACATATTTATGGTTAGAATGTCAAAGATTAAATTTAATTCTTTTAAGAACTCACTTATTCTCTTTTTCGGTACCATCTACAGCTCCCCAATCCCCAGGCAAAAAACCTCAAAATACATTTCTGACTCTTCTTAAATCCCTTCCTTTTACAAGTCCTGCTCACTCTATTGCTCAAATCTGGCTCGTTTGTTCTTCTTGTTGGCTGCCAATATTAGTTTAAGCCTTCATTAGTGTTCACTGGGATGATTTCAGCAACTTAAAAATTATTTTTTCCACTTTAAACTTGTTAGGTTTTATTTCTCACAGCACCCTGTGGTAAGTGACAGCACTCAATACAGTTTGCAGTTTCACTGTATTTCAGAAGGTTTTTGTTTTTAAATTGTGTTAAGATACACAAAACTTTTGCAAAACTGAAACTCTGTACCCATTAAACAATCACTCCCTATACCACCCTTCCTCCAGCCCTATCATTCTACTTTCTATCTCTATTAATTTGATTACTCTTAAGTATTCCACATAAGTGTAATCACACAATATGTCTTTTTGTTACTGGCTTATTTAACTTACCATAATGTCTGCAAGGTTCATCCATGTTGTGGGATGTAAATAACTTTAAAATTTGTCTAACTCTACCTGCCCTCTCCTCCAATTCATCTTACATAATTCTGTCAGATTTACCTTCCTAATGTACAATGCCAGCATTACCCGCATGTGTAAAAATAAATAAAACTGGCCAGGCACAGTGGCTCACGCCTGTAATCTCAGCACTTTGGGAGGCCTGAGGTGAGGAGTTTAAGACCAGCCTGGCCAAAATGGTGAAACCCCATCTCTACTAAAAATACAAAAATTAGCCCGGCGTGGTGGCACACACCTGTAATCCCAGCTACTAGGGAAGATAAGGCAGGAGAATCGCTTGAACGTGGGAGGCAGAGGTTGCAGTGAGCCAAGATCGTGCCACTGCACTCCAGACTGAGTGGCTGAGCGAGACTCTGTCTCAAATAACTAACTAACTAACTTTCATTACTGTCAATAGAACAAAGTGCAGATTCCTTCATTTAGCATTGAAGGCCTTCTATTAGCTGATATTAGTCAGGTAAGGATTTTTCCCCACTATTTCCTTACTCAACATACAGTTAATCTAACTCATGAGCTTTCCCTATTTGACTAAACTATTCAATATTCTTAGACTGTCTATCTCCTGCATTCCCCCAGTTCAACTTTCTGCACCAAATTCTACTTAATCCTTTCTGGATTCATGAAGCAACCTTTTCCCACCCAAAACATTCACAGCATTCTCTGTAATTCTCTTATACTATTTATTTCCTTCTGTATTAATATTTTTATGTGTCTGTCTTATTTTTTTTGTCCTTAAATTCCTTGTATTTTATCTTGGTACCAATGCCACTGCACTGGTACAGTGGTTTCCAGTGATAATGATGTTGTTGTCATTGAAGATGATGATGATAGCCCCTAAAGTTTACTGAGTATTGTGGACCAATATATGTCCCCCTCCAAAATTCATACGTTGAAGCCCTAACTCCTAGTACCTCAGAATTTGACTGTATTTGGAGAGAGGGCCTTTAAAGGGATAAGATTAAATGAGAACAGGCTGGACGCAGTGGCTCACACCTGTAATCCCAGCACTTTGGGAGGCTGAGGCTAGTGGATCACGACGTCAGGAGCTTGAGACTAGTCTGGCCAACATGGTGAAACCCGTCTCTACTAAAAAATACAAAAAATGAGCTGGGCATGGTGGCACATGCCTGTAGTCCCAGCTACTCAGGAGGCTGAGGCAGGAGAGTTACTTGAACCCGGGAGGCGGAAGTTGAAGTGAGCCAAGATGGCACCAGTGTACTCCAGCCTGGGCAACAGAGCGAGGCTCTGTCTCAAAAAGAAAAGAAAAAAAAAAGATTAAATGAGGACATAAGAGTGGGGCCTAATTCTGTGAGACTATTGTCCTCACATGAAGAAGATGGCAAACCAGGAGTGTGTGTGCTCCGAGAAAGATCCATGTGAGAATAACCAGACACCTTGATCTTGGATTTCCATGCTCTAAAACTGTGAGAAAATACACTTCTGTTGTTTAAGCCACCTATTCTGTGGCATTTTGTTACAGCAGCCTCAGCAAAGTAACATACTAGGCAAGGCACTGTTCTAAAAGCTTTATAAATATTAACTCATTTGGTCCTCATAACAACCCAACAACACAGGAACGGGTTTGCACATAGATACTAATATCCACCCATAAGAATGACATAATAGTCATTAGAAAACAATATAATAAAACTAGAAAACATAATTTTTTGTTTACTCTTATAAGATAAAAAGCCACTGAGTTGATGTTTTTGGATTGATTATTACTATCCATTTTAACATTACAAGTATTATCTTTATAACTTTTTTTAAAAAAACCTTTTTTAGTTCGATTTTTTGCCAAATACACTAGACATAAAGGTATCCTCAGGAAATTTAATAAAGCCAACCAATCTCTCATATGTCTCATAAAGTAAAAAAAAAAAAAGAAAAAAAAAATTCTGTGTAATCTGGAGCTTTCTTTAGAATTACATCCTTAAAGCAGATATACTTTTTGCACTTACATACAGAAGTAGCAGCAGCAATCAATCTTGTATTTGAAACTACTCCAAATTCCTAAAGAAAGAAAAGCAGGTACATGTTAACCCAATGAATCTAAGGGTATCTGAACTCTATTCAAAACAGGATTTCCTTGCTCCCCTGTTTACATTCTGTTCACCTTCTACCCACTTGAGGCGTGAAGTACTTAAACCCCTAAATGTACAGGTTGATTACTGCTTATCTGACATGCTTAGGATCAGAAATTTTTCTGATTTAGGAATATTTTGCATTACACTGGTTGAGCATCCCTAATCTAAAAATCTGAAATCCAAAATGTTCCAATGAGCATTCCTTTGAATGTCCTGTTGGCGCTCAAAAAGTTTTAAATTTTGGAGCATTTAGGATTTTCAGATTAGGGATAGTCTGCCTGTATTACCTTTCCCCCAAATTGCTACAACTTAAGACAAATTTTAAAATAATTTTGTAATTTAATAACAATAAAAAGTACCAAATTAGAAACCAAATCTTAAGGTCACAGTGTCAGTTTTAGGACTTAAATTAGTTTCCAAGAAGATTATTTACATTCTATACTTAATTGCAAGAATACTAAGTATGTTTCCTATTCAATTCAACCTGTACTAACAGATACTTCATGCCATTTTATGATAAAACAGTCGCATCTGTGAATAAGATAAACCTTAATTAATAGACTTCCAAAGTCAGTTCCCGTTTCCTCTTTCAAATGAATAACCCCCATTGTGAAAATACTAAAACTTACTATGATCCACCTTATATACACTATTTCATCTATTGCCTAAGATTCCTAAAGCCTTCACTTCATTTTAAAATAAAAAAATCAAGAGTTGGTTTCTTATCCAACAAAAGGAGCTAAACTAAAAATCTATTTAAATACCTTCAGCCTACATCCTTATCCTGTGTAGGGGAAATGTATGTGTAGTAACATATTTGTTTTACATTTAAACCTCCAACTATAGTAACTGAAAAGAAAAAGTAAAAGCCTGAAACATGTTCTTAAATGAGATTTCTATAAAATTTCCATAAAACTAGAGAAAATACAGAAAGATTTGGTCACAGAGATAAATAATAATAATAATAATAATAATAATAATAATAATAATGCTACCACCAAATCTGAAAGACTACATTCTCTTTCTCAGGAATAATTTTTTTTTTTTTTTTTCCAGATGGAATCTTGCTCTGTTGCCCAGGCTGGAGTACAGTGGCACAGTCTTGGCTCACTGCAACCTCCACCTCCTGGGTTCAAGTGATTCTCGTGCTTCAGCCTCCCTAGTAGCTGGGATTACAGGCATCTGCCACCACATCCGGCTAATTTTTGTATTTTTAGTAGAGACGGGGTTTTGTCATGTTGGTTAGGCTGGTCTCAAACTCCTGACCTCAGGTGATCCGCCCGCCTCAGCCTCCCAAAGTGCTGGGATTACAGGTGTGAGCAACTACACCCAGCCTAGGAATAATTCTTTATCCAAAACTCAAAGGGAAAACTTTCATTTGGTAAATCACATCACAGAGTTCTACTCAGTAAATCAAATAACAATATTTAACAAATAAGATAGATTAAAATCCTCAAATTAATCTACAAGATTAAATGTTTATAAAGATTTTTTGTCTTGGTCCACCATACTGCCTGTGCTTAAGAGACTTAAAATTAAATTATTACCTAGTAATATTTAAATAAAATCAAATATTATGTAGTATTAGAATTATTAGAATCAGAAAACTCAATCCATAAGGACCTTTAATAGACACTTTCTTTTCCATTAAAGAACTTAACAAAAACAAAGCTGATTCTGCCTTCTTAAACTACCACTCACAATTAGAAAACATAAACTTCTAGAAAGCTTGTCTTAATATTATTTCTAACAGAGTCAATTGTCATTATTTAGGTAATAGTTGGGAAAGATGTCATGGATATTCTTAAATCATGGCTAAAACAAAACTAAATCAAAGTAGGTACCAAAAGGAATATAAACTTACTAGGTAAAAATCACATTCAGTATTCAAGAATACAATTCTAAGAATACAACTCTAAGACATTATCCAAAAATAGAAACATAATGCAAAGATTTCACACCACCAAAGACTACATTAATTATTTATGAAAAACAGCCAATATCTGCTATTATTTTCTGGACTTTAGCTAAGCTTTTTCGAAAATACTACAAAAGTAAAAAAAATTGAACAGAAATTCAGTCTCTGCTGCAAGTTCCTATCTATCTTCTCTCCCTCACCTAATTTCTCTACGCTCATAACCTCAACTTTTACTTGTTAGAATCTATATAGCTATAGCTTCCCCTAATCCTTGCCTTCCTTCTGGCTTGGTAGGCAGCCAATCATCAGGATGATGGGAGGGAAGACAGGAGAAGATAAGCATATGGGTGAGAAGCATAAGGGACATTCTCAGGTTATGGTAGGCAAGCTGTGGTACTTACTGAATACTACTCAGTGCCAAACAATAAATGTCTCAAAGGCAGCAGAGGAAAGTAGTTAAGAACACAGGATTGCTAAAGAGACTCCCATGGTTCAAACATGGGCTCTGACACTTACTAGCTGTATAATCTTAAGCAAGTTCTTCATCTCTCTCTGTCTCAGTTTCCTCATTTATAAAATGGGACTACTACTAGTATGCATTCCAGTTTGTTAGGAAGATTAAGTCAGTTGGTACACAGTAAGTGCTATATGTGTCTGTTAAGTGAATATATAAGGATATGTATATATTTCTTTGATTTTGTACAATTTTAGTATTTTGCATACATTACCATTTATTAATTTGACACAGGCAATGTGAAAACTGGGGCAGATTAACCAACATACATTGACTATACTTTGATGAAGAACAGAAAATTGTTTTATACCTCTACTTTGGATGCCAAAAACACACATGTAGGAGCCATTAATACAGGATCTATACTTTTCAGAGAATACCTAAAATATGATAAAACAAAGTTAAATATCATTCATATAGAAAACACACTGGGAAAAAATCAAGATAACTCTATGGCAGACACATGATTCATTTACACTGTGCTAAGGTTCATCAACATTAGATAAGAGTTCAAATAAATAAAATAAAATAAAATAAAAATAATCCTACCTGGCATAGAATCTCTTGAAATATACCGTAGCAGTGGCAATAACTTGTTGTCTTAATTTAAGATGTTCACCTAATGCTTGGATAACTAAAAGGTAAATAATGAAATTTTAAATGTATCTTCTGGTATCATTATAATATTAACATTGAACAGTAACTTCCAATTGATTAAATCATAATTATGTTCATTTTTAACAAAGGGAAAAACCTACACATGCTCTATGTGAGTCACAGTGGTCTAACACTAGGATTTGCAAATGTGTTAAGAAAATATATAGGTATGCATAAACAACAACAAAACAATAACAAAACAGAAATTGCCCCACAGCAAAAAATTATCCATCCATTAAGGAAGTTGAATAAGTATTTCCCCTCTATCTTCTAAATATTTTAAATGCTTTTCATATTAGCTTTAAAATAAATATAAAAAGAAAATATTAGACACCTATGAAACTTGTTAATACTACCACTTTTTTGTTGTTTTGAGACAGAGTCTCATTCTGTCGCCCAGGCTGGAATGCAGTAGTGCGATCTGGGCTCACTACAATCTCCACCTCCCAGGTTCAAGTGATTCTTGTGTACCACGTCCAGCTAATTTTTGTATTTTTAGTAGAGAGGGGATTTCACCATGTTGGCCAGGCTCATCTAACTCCTGGCCTCAAGTGATCCACCCACCTCTGCCTCCCAAAGTGCTAAGATTACCACACTTAGCTTTATACGGCTCACCAAAAAAAAAAAAAAATTCATAATGAATCCTCAAAAAAAAAAAAAAAAAAAAACCAGAGAGATAAGTTTACAAAATAGTGAACTGAAAGTTAAAAAAATTATGTGACAAACCTACTACATGTCAGAGTAAAGATATATCCCTAATCTTCTTCCCTTCAAAGTTCTAAGAGACATGACCACTACAGGATGCCAATCCAAAGAATCATTTATCCTCAAAGTACTTTGCTTTAGCCAACCGTGAACTGGGTCTAATAATTATTACAAAGCCTTAGGGAGATTAGGTAACACTTCTAAATTGTCTTAAGTGCCTGTAATATGTAAAATTCACACAAAAAACTTTATTTGGATCACTAAAAAGAAACAGAAATGAATACGTTGTAAAAAGAACACCTATATAAATAAAAATGTTAGGTATGCACTAAAACAGTTTACAAATTACCACACAAAAACATTTTAATTCAGAGGTAACCAACTATACAATCTCAAACAATTTTTTAAAAAGTTTACCATTTGTAAAAAATATTTGTAACTTCCAATATTCTTCCTCTGAGAGAAACTTTAAATCCTTTTGGCGCTCCTTCAACAGATCTTGTTTATCCAAAATCCATTGCAAACTAGAAAAGACATGTTACAGAAAATCAACAAGCAAGGTCAGGGAAAACACTCTAAGATTGAACACATTGTTCATATTCTGAGAAGTACAAAGAGCAAAACATAACCTTAAAGACAATTATTTCTCACATTTCTTGAAATGTGACTAATAATTATCTCACTAATAAATGTAAATATGTCCTGAAAAAAATTCTGCTCTAATCTTTTCCTTCTTCCTCCTTAGTCTGTTACCAGCTTGTATTTCACTGATTCTGACTCCGATATCAAGATATGTCTTACAATCTGTGATGCCTTCGTGTTATAATTGGCAGCATGTTTATTCTTTCTTAGTGATATAAGATAACGGTGGAATTATTTGGCACCAATTGATGGTCGCTTAGATTTGAGGAAGTATATAGTTTTTCAGCTGTTCATGGGTAACTATGGCATTTAATTTCCTTACTTCACAAATCTAATTATATTAAAAACTGCCTCAGAATGTGTTACACTGATAGCCTCCTCCTCTTGCCTAGTCAAGTGTGCTATTTTTAACCAGAGATATGAAATTGACATGACTCAAAGAAAAAACGATCTTGAAGCTGTGTTTGTCATTCAATATGTATTCCAAGTCTTATGTCAATTAACTTGTTGTTCAGCAGTCTTTCATACAGCTTTATGGATGGATCATTATTTAGCCAATCTCTACTGATGCAAATATAGGTTATCATTTTTCACCCATATTTTCTAATACCCTTAAGGGCTTTTTTCCTTCAATTTATGATCCATCTGGAATTTATTTTGGTACAAAGTAGGGATCCAGCTAAAATTTTGTCAAATGCTTATCCAAATGCGCTGAGGTATTTCCTGATTTATAATTCTATCATTATACTTGGATCTTCTTTATAATTTCCTATTTTTTCTTGTTCATATGCTGTGCTATTTTAAAACACAGAAAATTAAGTAATTAATAGCTGGTATAAAAAAATACTGCCTTGCTACTATTTCCTGAATGATATGCTTCTTAATGAATATCTTTGTAATTCTCCTTGCATATTTGATTAATAATATATTTGAAATAACTTCCCAGAAGTAGGATTAGTGTTGCTGGTAATTTATTGATACACATTATCAGTTTACCCTCCAAAAACATTATACCAATTTCCATTTGTATTAACAGTTCATGAGTGAATTGTACAATATTTAATCCTGGCCGGGCATGGTGGCTCATAATTCCAGCACTCTGGGATTCCAGCACTCTGGGAGGCCGAGGTGGGCCGATCACCTGAGGTCAGGAGTTTGAGACCAGCCTGACCGATATGGTGAAACTCTGTCTCTACTAACATTACAAAAATTAGCTGGACGTGGTGGCGTGTGCCTGTAGTCCCAGCTACTTGGGAGGCTGAGACAGGAGAATTGCTTGAACCCGGGAGGTGGAAGCTACAGTGAGTTGAGATCATACCACTGCACTCCAGCCTGGTGGACAGAGACTCTGTCTCAAAAAAAAAAAAAAAAAAAAAAAAAAAAAATAATCCTATGGGTTACTGCCACTTTTAAATATTTTGCAACTTAAAGGCAAAGTAGTACGTCACTGTTTCTTTTCCCTGTAGTTTACTTTTGAGGTTAAACATCTTTCTATGTCTTTATTGGTCATATACAGTTCTTCTTTTGTACAATGTTAATTCTAATATGACCATTTTTCTAATGGTATTACCGATTTTTTTAATGATTAAGAGATTCTTCTCATCTAAAATTTGTACAGTATGAATAATAAATCACTTGTTTGACAAATAAGTGCAAAATTTCTCCCAAGTTTAAATATCTCTCAGTATTTAATTATTTGTAATACAGAAATCTGAATCACTTACTTAAATCTATCTTTTACTTTCATGTTTGTCAGGCATAGCAAGGTCTTTCCTGATTCAAAATGATAAACAATTCACCCATATTTTCTAATACCCTTAAGGGCTTTTTTCCTTCAATTTATGATCCATCTGGAATTTATTTTGGTACAAAGTATAAAGTTGGGATCCAGCTAAATATTTTGTCAAATGCTTATCCAAATGCGCTAAGTTATCTTCTGATTTATAATTCTATCACTATACTTGGATCTTCTTTATAATTTCCTATTTTTTTTCTTGTTCATATGCTGTGCTATTTTAAAACACAGAAAATTAAGTAATGAATATCTGGTATGAAAAATACTTCCTTGCTACTATTCTCCTGAAAATTTCTGACATTTTATCACAATTATTATTCTAAGACCCAAACTTAAGAAGCATTATGTCAAGTCCTAAAAAAGAATATCCATTCAAATTTTGTGATTGCATTACATTTAAAGATCAATATAGGGAGAAATGACATCTTACCAAGAATTCAAACTTTATTAAAATCTGTATGTGCCACTATGGACTTTTAAAGTTTTCTTCCTACAGGTTCTGTATATTTCTTTATATTTTTCCCTCTGTATTTTATATTTTCTGTTGCTAATGTAAATTATACTTCTCTATCCATTTTTAAAAAGCTTTTATTTTTGTATTTTATAACTGGTCACCTTATTAAACCTTTATTATTTCTAATAACTTCTCAATTAACTGAGTTTTCTCATTAATTTTATTTCCACGTATTGATAATTTTGTCATTGTTTTGTCATTCTTTCTATATCTCCTTTGTATCAATTGTATTCACTAGTACACTGGTAAAATCTTAAATAGGCACCCTAATTATCCCAATGTTTTACCACTGCTGATGCTTTGATATGTTTTTCATGTTAAGGAAGCATCCTGTTTCTGTTTTAGTAAGAGCTTTAGTCAAGGATAAATGTTGAATTGCATTAGTTTTTTAATACCTTTACTGCTTCATTGACTATATTTCTATAATAAAATCCACTGTCACGTTTTATACTTTCAATGTAATGTTAGACTGTATTTGGTAATAATTCATTTACCATGTTTGCATCAGTATTCAAAAGTGAGACTGTTTTTAGTGTTCCCTTTACTAGATTTTTCTGTAAGTGTTATCATGGCTTTGTAAAGGAAAGCTTTTCTTCTTTCTGTATGAAATGGAACAATTTCAAAAGGAGATTCTCTTGAAAGATGTATTTACCCATGAAATAAGGCATAGCTCTTGGGTAATACTCTTAACTTGCTTTGGCTTTCAAATTTAAAACCCTGGAGATAACCCAAAAGTACCCTTGGGTTTACTTTTCTCATTCCTAATTTTGTATTTTTGTATCATTCCTTTCTCCCCTGATTTAACTAGCAGTAGTTTCGTCTACTGTTTTTGTTTACTCTAAGAATGATCTTTTATAATTTTTTTCCTTTTAATATATTAGCATCAGCGTTATCTATTTTAAGATCTTCTTCCTGTTTCTTTAGGCTTATTTCATGTTTCCTTCTTAGTATTATTAAATAGAATATTTCTATTATCTCTCAATTATTCAGGATATTGATTTTCTAATACATTCAAGCTTTGGTTACATTCCATATATGGTAATATTATGATGTTATTTTATAGATATTAAGTAACTGTATTTTCAGTTTCCTTTTTCACACAATAAAGTATCCACAGTTAGTTTTGTAGTTTCTATTTTTGTTACTCCTTCATTAATGCATTCAATCAACCCAGCAAATACTTAGTCCCCTTCTAGTTCATTTTGGTCACAGACTGTGTTTTGTTCTACTTCAACTACATTGTGGTTTGCTAATTAATTTCATCCCCACAGAGTCATTTTATGTTTTTAAAAAGATAAATTTCATAAATTTCACAAACATTTTATGAATTTTCCTCAGAGCTGTGTATGCAGGATAAACTAAAAAAATTTATAAATACTGCATTTCATCAAATTTAAGATTACATCTTGGATTCATCATTATTTCATATGCTATGAAAGAAACTGCCATGCTCATTTCAAAGATGTTAAAGTGTGAAAATATGCATCTTAGAAGCATGAAATATAGCATATTTAATGTCAATTGCCCTCTTTCACCAAATTCAGCTAAAACAATGGCCTTTCAAAATCTTTTGTTTGTTTTTCCAGAATTGTCTTGTCTTCCATACTTGTTACCTTTTCCAGATAAGAAACTCTATGACTGCTCAAGGGATCTGAGCAAGGCAAAGTGATCCCTTCTTTTAGGAGTATTTGAATTGGGAGAATAGTTTCAAAGAAGTACACTTAACTTTGTAATAATTTTATATTTGAAAAGTGAAAAAATGTTTTTATAACGCTATGAATAAATGAAAGCATAATGAGAACACCATTGAAAAAAGGTAGGAGCTTTTTTTTAAGTTGAAAAACTGACAAATCACCAGTCAGCTACTTGTCAATTCTCTCAGCTTCTTTCAAAGTTTATCAGAATCTCTCTTCTCCACTACCTAAATTTTTTTTTTCAGGAGCTCTAACTCCAATACCTAAACTTTCGATACTTTAATTCTGCCCAAGCAATATTTCAGTGTGTGAAAACAATGCAACATATATATAATACACACACACACACATATATATACACACACATACACATATGATCAGTTGCCTGCCTCTTTAACATGTCATCTCCACAGAATCACTTTATAGCAAGAGGAAAACCTGCTTTTCCTTAAATAGGTTACCGAGTTCATTGTTTCTTTTTTCTCCTTGCAAAGGGCTAAAAAATGAACATCAGGAACAGATCCTATTCACAGAATCGAAATTTAAATTACTTACTAATGCTTTCTTAGCATAAAAAATTATACTAAGATACCTTCTTTGTCAAGTTCTGTTCATCTTTCAACTATACAGTGGAAAGCCTACTCAATGTTCAATTAACCCCATCACGCACCTTCCTGCCTGCTTAAACAAATGTATTTAGAGATAAATGTTTTTAATATTATTCTAGCTCTCACATAGTCACTGACAGAAACAAGAACTTATTCATGAAAAAGGTTAAAGAAATAGAGAAACAAAATCACTGGAAAAATACGCCTTTAAAACAAAATATAAGGCATAGGCTAATGAAATGGATAAGTTTACAGGGCACCTGCCCTATACCTTATCAATATAAAACTCCATCTAGACATAAAGTACTGGCAAGAAGAGGTTAGTAGGCAGAAACAAGCCAGACTCTCTCCTCTCCTCAGAATATTAAATCCACTCAAGATATACAGTGAATGACAAAAGACCACGACGCCAATCACCCGAAGAAATCCCAAGCAAAAGCACGCCACAACTGTCCTGAACAGGTAGCCTCACAGTCTTGAGCTGAGTCACACTTCCCGTACCTGTGCCCACTCTATCCGACCCCCTGCGGCCTAGTTAAACTAAAAATCCGAAATTAAACTCTGAAACGTTCCTTCCTGGGAGACTAAACTCTCTTCCACCCCTCCCCCTCACAGATCCTTCCCTCCCCGAAACGGGCTGGGGGCGGGGAGGGGAGTCGCCTCAGAAAAGAGCATCTTGCTTCTGGCCGCTGCCGTCTCCCTTGAGGACCCCGGCACTCGGAACTGAGCCGGGATCCAGGCCCAAGGGAGTCGCAGGCCCCTTCCTCACAGCCCCCCAAAAACCGGCCCCAGGTGAGAAGACGTAAGATCACTTACTAGTGGGAGCTCTGCCAAAAGTTCCCTGCCATGGAACACAGCTTGCCCTGATAAAAAAGCACCAGCCGGCGGAGCGGCCCGCGGAGCGACCATAGACCCAGCCCGTCCGGTAACCGCGCTCCTCGATCAAATCAGCTCGGCTCGACTCCGCTCCGCGGCGGCGACGGCGAAAGGAAGAGGATGGCCCCCTAGTCTCCTTCACGCCGGCCGACAACACTCAACTGTGCAAACCCGTTCCTATCGACAAAAGTTCCGGCCCGCGGTAGCGGAGGGAGCCGGCGGGGAGGTGCTGACCTGTGGGGGCGCTGAGATAGAAGAGAACTAGTGCTCACGAGAGCTCACGGCGGTTGGAAGACTCTCGCGAGAGCGTCTTGCCGGTTCTGGCCGGGGGCCCACGGCGCTCGGTCTCCTGTCCTCAGCACTGGAGTTGCTGAGTAGGGGTCTAACCTGGGCGAAGTGGCTGAGTTCCGGGGTTCTGTTATTACCTCTTCCAGGACTTCAAAAACAGAACAATGGCATTGTAATAAAATAAAAGATTTTGTGACTTATTTTACCTGTGATTGGAAAGAGAAATAAATGAAGATGACTTTGTTCTCACGGATCAAGTTTTTTTTGTTGTTGTTTTTGTTTTTTGTTTTTTTTACCTTGCTCTGTCGTCCAGGCTAGAGTGCAGTGGCGCGATCCCGGCTCACTGCAAGCTCCGCCTCCAGGAGTTCGAGCGATTCTCCTGCCTCAGCCTCCTTCCCGAGTAGCTGGGACTACAGGCACGCACCACCACGCCCGGCTAATTTTTGTATTTTTAGTAGAGATAGGGTTTCACCATGTTGGCCAGGATAGTCTCAAACTCCTGACCTCGTGATCCGCCCGCCTCGACCTCCCAAAGTGCTGGGATTACAGGCGTGAGCTACCGCGCACGGCCTATTTTTTACTTTTGAGACAGAGTCTGGGTCTGTCACCCAGGATGGAGTGCAGTGGCACAATCTTGGCTCACAGCAACCTCTACCTTTCGAGTTCAAGTGATTCTGCTGCCTCAGCCTCCCCGGTAGCTGGGATTACGGGGATTACAGGCGCGTGCCACCACGTCCATCTAATCTTTGTATTTTTAGTGGAGAGGGGATTTCGCCAGGCTGGTCTGGAACTCCTGACCTCAGGTGATCCATTCGCCTCAGCCTCCCAAAATGCTGGAATTAACAGGCGTGTGAGCTACCAGGCCCGGCCTGGATCAAGCGATTTCTTTCTTTTTTTTTTTTTCTTTCTTTTTTTTTCTTTTTTCTTTTTTTTTTTTTTTTTGAGACAGACTCTTGCTCTGTCACCCAGGCTGGAGTGCGGTGGCGCTATCTAGGCTTACTGCAACCTCTGCCTCCCAGGTTCAAGAGATTCTCCTGCCTCAGCCTCCCAAGTAGCTGGGACTACAGTCGCGCACCACCACGCCCAGCTAATTTTTGTATTTTTAGTAGAGGCGGGGTTTCACCATGTTGGTCAGGATGGTCTGGATCTCCTGACCTCGTCATCCGCCCACCTCTGCCTCCCAAAGTGCTGGGATTACAGGCGTGGGCAACCGCGCCAGGCCGCGATCTTAATGGAGTTCTTTTGGAGTGATAGAAAAGTGCAAACTTACAGAGCAGCGAAATCACCGGTTTTGTAAAACACCTAAAAACATTCATGCACATATGTATGCACATGTATGTATATGTTTGCACCAAATAGAAACATACTGCAAGAACCATAATTTAATTTTACAAGATGAAATGTTTTGTATTTTCCATTTCAATTTCATTGTAACAATGCATTTGTTGTAAAACTTGTAATTATTTTTCTAAATAATTGGACACGCCAGAAACTTGTTTATAGACGATCAGCATCTGAGGCAACTTAAGATAGTATTTTTAACATTGTGGATGGAGACCAATTAGGGTGTGGTAAAATTAAGTATAATCATGTTCCTAAATAGAACAGAAAATACTAGGTAAATCAGAAATAGCAAGGATATTATATTAAATTTTGTTTATATTATATACACACACAGTCAAGATGTGAAATGCATTTATTTGTACGTGAGGTGCCAGGTGTGGTGGCTCACGCCTGTAATCCCAGCACTTTGGGATGCCGAAGTGGGCAGATCACTTGAGGTCAGGAGTTCGAGACCAGCCTGGCCAACATAGTGAAACCCGGTCTCTACTAAAAATACAAAAATTAGCTGGGTGTGGTGGCACCTGCCCATAGTCCCAGCTACTTAGGAGACTGCAGCACAAGAATCGTTTGAACCCAGGAGGCAGAGGTTGCGGTGGGCAGAGATTGTGCCACTGAACTCCAGCCTGGGCAACACAGAGTGAGACTCCAAATCAAAAAAGAAAAAGAAAAAAGAATGAATTAGTCTGGATAAGCTACACTAGGTGAAATTGTGGTAACACCTCCCCACCCCCACCTCTAATCAGCATAGCTTACCATGAAAGTATTTTACATGTCATAGGTCACTCCCATAAAGTCCCATAAAGTCAGCTTGCTCTCCTTGATGGTTGTCTTCCAGATCTGCAAGAATCTAATATTTATACATCTTTCAATTACTCCATCTTACTTCTAGGCTTAAAATCTTTCTAGAGAGAGCACAGAGGACTCATTTTACTAGCTCTTACCCAGTGTTAAGAGCCTTAAAACAGAAACAACCCAATCACCTTCTCTCATGTGCCAGAATAGACACATGCCTCCAGTTTTTAACTGTGAAGAAAGCTGAGGCCAGGCACGGTGGCTCACGCCTGTACTCTCAGCACTTTGGGAGGCTGAGACAGGCGGATCACGAGGTCAGGAGATCAGACCATCTTAGTCAACATGGTGAAACCCCGTCTCCACTAAAATACAAAAATTAGCTGGGCATGGTGGCGCATGCCTGTAATCCCAGCTACTTGGGAGGCTGAGGCAGGGGAATCGCTTGAACCTGGGAGGTGGAGGTTGCAGTGAGCTGAGATCATGCCACTGCACTCCAGCCTGGGTGTCGGAGTGAGACTGTCTCAAAAAAAAGAAAGCTGAGAAATGCAGAGGAGTGTTTAGTATACTTGATGAACACTACTGTCTGTTACACGGCAGATCACAATAAAAAATATTTAAAAGGCACTACCTTAAGAAACTCCAAGCCGTGGGCTATTTCACAGATTCAGGATTTCTTCAACTCTCTCAGGGTTTGTTTTGTTTGTTTGTTTTTGTCAGCCTGGCATCCAGAAGTTAAGGATACTGCAACGAATTAGTATTACTAATGTTTTATTATAAGCAATCCTATTACACTACACTTTGTTACTGTTACTGGACTAGCACTTTTTTTTTTTTTTTTGTCACCCAGGTTGGAGTGCAATGGCTTCAGGTGATTCTCTTGCCTTAGCCTCCCAAGTAGCTGGGATTACAGATGCCTGCCACCATGCCTGGCTAATTTTTTTGTTTGTTTGTTTTTGTATTTTTAGTAGAGAAGGGGTTTCACCATGTTGGTCAGGCTTGTCTCGAACTCCTCACCTCAGATAATCCACCCACTTCAGCCTCCCAAAGTGCTGGGATTATAGGCCACCTGCAATTTTGTTTTATACCTAATTCTGCACTCTTCTTCCTACAAAACAGTGAGATCCTTCATCTTTGTATTTCCATTAGTTCAGGGTATAATGCATAGTAGGCATAGCAAATACTGGTGTTTAAATCTCTTGCAGAATTTGGGGGATGTGCTTTGATATAATATTATGGATACAAAATTATGCTGAAAAGTGAGTACTACATTTAGAATGCAAAAAGAGCCACAACAACTTACCACAGCTGTGGAAATTCAGGTCCTTTCCTTCTGTGAACTCTTTTAGGCAATTTACAATAAGTGCTACATAGAACCTCTTCCTGTTTGTGACTTGGTTTCTGCTTCCGCCAAATGCCCTGCAGCTCCCAGTGTTCATGGGGGCTGTGCAAGTCAAAGGCCTAGAGCTTAGGCTTCCTTAGTTTCAGAGTAAATTGCTTTTGAGGGCATTCTATAAATGTAGGTTGAATTAAATTGACTTGATTCAAAAGCTAACTTCATTTAAGGATATCTCTAGTGGAATAGAGAAATTTATAAAAGCTGTTAAAATGCGTAGATATCCCAGCTTACCTGGATGCAAAAAGATCATGAGCTATCTAGTAGATTTGCCTTTTTTCACTGATCATTTTTTAAACTTTTCTTTATAATTTTATGAGTATTGTTTTTCAGGCCTCACTACCCACTAATTTAAACTTGATGAAATAAATTAATGTTGTCCCTTCCAATTTTCAACTTACCTTGTGCTTTTCAAACAGGGATGTGTTCAATAAATTCTTTTTAAAAAATTTTTATTTTTCATTTTTGTGGATACATAGTAGATGTATATATTTATGGGATACATGAGCTATTTTGACACAGGCATGCAATAAGTGATAATCACATCAGGGTAAATGGGTATCCACATCTCAAGCATTTATCCTTTGTGTTACAAACAATCCAATTATACTCTTTTAATATTTTAAAACGTCAATAAGTTCTTGATGCTAGTGTTCACTCTCTTGTGACAAGAAAGCATTTATCTTTTTCTTCTTACAGTGCTTTCATGAATACTATTTGTGGTAAACTAGGAGCTAGAAGGTTAGTGGCTTTATTAACCTCACTTAGTTAAATAGAGGCAAGAATACCTGGAATCCGATTCTTCTGATTCACAGTGCAATAACTTTTTTACCCAACTAGACAGCTTCAACAAAACTACTATGACTAAACTGCTGTAAGCACATTATTCTAAGTTTGTAGTACAAGTTTTTCTTCTTGAACAGAATTATTGGAGATAATCTCATTTTTTAATTAAATTATTATCATAATTACTTTGCTTTGTTATTACTAGTCCTTATTGTGAAAAACATCCTCTTCTTTATGTAGTCATCCCCTGTACCTCCCTTTATTTTAGTTCTGGTATACCTGTATTTGTTGAAGATTAATACACTTCTAAATTACGGGAAAGCGTCTTTGTTTTGTGCTATAAGAGAATAGCAGACTGGGTAATTTATAATTGTCAACCTAGATAACAGAGAGAGACTCTCTAAAATAAAATGATCTTTATTCAGGAATAGGGCATTGCAATAGGAGTATATGCGCCCTTAGTAAACTACATGGGTATTTAGGGAGGTAAGGGAACACAAAGGTTTTTAAAGAAAAAATGAAAAGGATTACATAATTGTTTTGAGATAATTTAGCCATGGCTACAAGGATCAGTTACAAAAGTGACACCAGTCCAAGGTTAGATAGGCAGTTGCTGGGCAGATATCCTCACAGAAATACTGTTTTGTGTGCAAGGTTGCTGTGGTGTTTGTGCAATGTTATGGTTTTTGCAGTAGCTTTTGTGATAGTTTTTGTTACCAGGCATTTATTTGTGAGAACCCTTCCTTCATGGCCCTTTGAGGCTCTATTTTTTATTTTTATTTTTTAACCCAAATGACTCAATTTTGATCTTGACAACTTTCACATAATGAACAGAAATTTATTAGCTCATGGGTTCTTGAGGCTGGGAAGTCCAAGATTGAGGGGCTGGCATCTGGTGAGGGCCTTCTTGCTACATCATCCCATGGCAGAAGG